GCTGAGGAATTCTGGGAGTTGAAGTCCACAGGTCTTAAAGTGGCCAAGGTTGGAGAAGCTGGCTGAGGAATTCTGGGAGTTGAAGTCCACAGGTCTTAAAGTGGCCAAGGTTGGAGAAGGTGGCTGAGGAATTCTGGGAGTTGAAGTCCACAGGTCTTAAAAGTGGCCAAGGTTGGAGAAGGTGGCTGAGGAATTCTGGGAGTTGAAGTCCACAGGTCTTAAAAGTGGCCAAGGTTGGAGAAGCTGGCTGAGGAATTCTGGGAGTTGAAGTCCACAGGTCTTAAAAGTGGCCAAGGTTGGAGAAGCTGGCTGAGGAATTCTGGGAGTTGGAGTCCACAGGTCTTAAAGTGGCCAAGGTTGGAGACCCCTGGTTTTGAGAGTCCTAACAGGACGTAACGTCGGGGATCAGCCGGACGTTGCCTGGGAAGAGAGAACTTTTGGGGAACTTTTGAGGGGTCATTGGCCAGGGAGGGGCTGCTGCTGTTGTTGCTACTCCTAGTTGTAAACCGGTTGTAGGGAGTATGTAAGAAAAAAAGGAGGAAGTCCTCCTTGCGTAGGAGGATGATGAGTGCTGGAATTGCATTGCCTACAAAATCCAGCAGTTCCACATACAGGCATTCCTCGGCTTACGGCCCCAATCGAACCCAACATTTATGTTGTTAAATGAGTCTTTCCCCCATGTTATGACTTTACAAATAGAAATGGAGTAGAGAATTGGGTAGAAATACAATTAGTCATTGATTTAGGATTACAGTTGAGCCCAAAAGCTTTTACAGTATAATAACCACAGACATCAATCAAGAGTTTTCACTCGAGGTTGTATTATTATTATTGTCATTGTATTGTATTATTATTGTTATTGTTATTATTATCATCATCATCATCATCATCATCATCTTATTTCTGTAAGCCACCCGGAGTCCTTCGGGATTGGGCAGCCTATAAATTTAATAAATAGAAATAGAAATAGAAATATTGAACAATACTGTACTGTATGGATAGGCGCAAAAGAGCTACAGATGCTCGTGAAAGTTCTTTTTAAAGATCTTAAATGTGTACTATTTTTTTCCTGGTACAAGAAACACTTGCTTGTAACTCTTAAGAAATATCTCTGGAATGGGGTGTGGAGTTTTGAGTTTCAGTTCCTGATTCTGTTACAATTTTCCAGTATAACCATTTATTCATGCTCCATGTTATTTCCATAGAGCGCTGGAGAGGATATACCATAATTACGGGCATATACGTTTCATATTGGCACTTTCTCGTGAGTGAAATGAGACATTAAAAGGGGAACAATATTCCACATAACAAAAGCTCAACATTTTCAGGGGCACGAGTGATGAACACGGTACAGTTTTCTAAAGTAAATCACAAAAATCCAAATTAGTGAGACTGAGGCGTACGATTTACATAGTGCAGCTTCAATGAAAGATATGCTTGGATATGCTCCTTTTTAATAGTGTATCATGTTCCATTTAGCTATAAGCCAATACTTCACTCTATATTTGTTGTGCTTAAGCCTTCACGTTTTTTTCCCCCGCAGAGAGATTGGAGTCTGTTCTTTCAGACTATGATATTCTTTCAGTATCCAACATCCAGCAACATTCAGTAAGACGAAGAGATCTCCAACCTCAATCCCATATAGAGAAGCTTGTTAGTTTTTCAGCGTTACATAGGTATGATTTTTTTTCCCCTAATTAAATGCAGAATCTGGGTGGATCAGCCTTGTTTTATGTATTGCCGCAATCAGGTATTATCTGGATAGCAGGGAACATTATGTCTATTTAGGAATGAAAAGGAAATTATTTTAGGCTCCTTTATAATGTAAAATAATATGTCATTGGCTTTCACCTACAAGGTAAACGTATTGGCAAGCCTGATACTTCATTAACTAAAGCTCAAATATATATATGCAAGGCTTTAAATCTCTTTTAATAATGTATTGATGTATGTTCTTAAACATTTATCCCAGGTTTGAAAATTGAAAAACAGTTTATGCTCAAACTGTTAGTAAATATTCTTTTTTTTTATTTATTTATTTTCAAAACAAACATACAACTCCTCCTTCTTTACATATTGTAGAAAGTGTATCAGCTGGTTACAAAAGGTTTTTGTGCATCTCTTCCACAATCAAATATAATTCATATTAATTCAAATATCTTAACTCAAACATTTACTATATTAACATCATCATACCTCCACTTGTAT